GATTTGGGTTCCCCGCACCGTGGCAACAAAAAACACCACCACAACATCATGTTCTAGAACTTTGATGAACGTAGTGATGAACGTAGTGTAATCTCGCCGATGATCCATATCTATCCGTGAAGCTGGACTAGGATTGTTTGGTTGGCAAAAGGAGCACGTTCCGCTCCTAGAACATTGACAACCAAGCGTGGTGTGGTGTGTCAAAGACCCTCCCCCCACGAAAGCCTCAAATCCGAAGCCCTTCAGACCCCAAGCCCTAAGTGCTGACGGGAAACAAGCTGTGGCCTTTGCATGACATACTGGTATGAACGTTACATGATAGAAGTCACGCCCAAATCGGTCGAAGAATTTCGCCCCCTGCCCCGGTGCCCTGCAGGACCGGTTCGTGGCATCGGCCCAGCAGGAGACGATTTCACGGTTTGGATTTTGGGATTAAGGATTCTTATGTCGGGCCTTTACAGGCCCGGGGGTACTCTAATCTGCAGGTTCAGTGCTTTTAGGCGTCAGCTTGTCAAGTCTCAAGATTGTGATGCACTCGTGCTCCTGTGGAGGTGTTGAGGGCTTCGCTGTTGGGAGGCTGGGAGGTTATGAGTCGGCAGCAAAAACAGGTAGAAGAGGGTGAACTCAGTTCGCGGTAGAGTATTCGGACCTACCAGAAGGCGTTCAGCTCTTGAAGACTAAGGGAGAGCCCTTGATGCACAAGGGGGCCAGTTTGGTTTGGGCGTGGGTTGCCTCTGGTTCATTGCAATGCGCGGTCGAATCAGCGGAGAACAGGAAGAGAGCCTTACGGTGTCCATGCTCCTCAGAGCTTGGCAAGGCCTGGCAGGAGAAATAGCCAGAGCTTCTTCAAGCAGGGCTTTGGGGGATGTAAGAGGTTTTGGTTTTGAGGTCCACGCGCGTGTATTCCAAAGCATTCGCAGCGCATCTGCAAGTGCACATGAGGAAGGATTTGGAGGTCTCAGACTCACAAGCCTGATGTGAGAGCACATGGAGCTGAAAGTCGCGACATCTACCCAGAGCCACAAAGCTCTGCAGATCTCAGTTAGTAAACCCTGCACTTACACCAACTGCAAGCCAACAGGCGACCCTCCCAGATTCAAGAACTTCCAAGACCGCACTCCAGTGCCTCGGCCCGAAAAGATCCGCCCTGGAGGTGCTGCGCGGGCCGAGCTCTGTGCCAAGCGGGAGGTACCTCGTCTCTCCGAAGACTCACAGCTTGCACAGCAACTGCTTCTTTTGCTCCCACTTGGAGCTTGGTCGGTAGCCAGCAGGAGGACATCAGTCGCTTGCGCATTGTGGTGTTCTCGTCTGGGACTGGATTGTAGACTTGCGGGGCACGCTGGCTTGGTTGGTTCAACTGCAGTGGCGAATAGACCTGGAGTTGTTTATCGCCTTTCGGATTCAAGACAGCGAGTCCTGTTTCGACCTCTGATGTCTTTACGCTTGACAGACTTTTAGACTTCCGCTGAAAGTCGCTTGGACCTTCAGCAGGCCCGGTGCAAAGTTTAGGAACATCGTATGCCATGAACCCTCGAAGCATCCAAGCCCACACCCACTGCAAAATAAAAAGGCACGACACCGACTCGACCCCAAAACTCCTCAAACCCAAGCCCGTAATGAGGAACTAAGCAGCCCGGCCCCTGGCAAAGGCTCAGCTGCAGCAGCTCAAGGCCAAACACAAGGCAAACGTGCATGAGGGTTTGAATTGCAAAGCTCGAGCTTGGGATGTTAGACTTTCAGAGATCTGAGCTGAGAGTAAAGTTGAGACATTCACAGTACCGTGGTTTCGGACTGGGCAGGTTCTCAGAAGAGCTTCTCGACTTTTCAGCTGCGCTCAGAATCTGACTTCATCCCAAAACGAGAAGTCCCTGAAGCCAAATCCGGATCATCCATGGAGAGCAGCTCTGGTTTGCTGCTCTTAGGCGATGAGTTCATGACCTTGTCGACCTTTGCACAAAAAGCTCTGCATGGCCAGGAGGAATTAGAAGAGCTCCGGGAGAGCTTTATCGGCCGAATGCGCCAAGAGAAGGTGGTGCATGCTCGCTTTGTTGTTGGCGCATTGAAGGGTTCAGAGCCTGGCAGTCGGGCTTTGGAATTCCAGCTTAAACTGTTGAACCTAGGCTATTTCGAGCTGCCCGTGGGGTCATCGTCGTAGTAGAGGCAGCGGTCGTGGTAGCGATGGTACTGTAGTGTTAGTTTTAGTGTTCGTGCTTGCATTCGCAGGCGCAGTCGTTGTGGATGTGGGAGTGGTAGTGAAATTATGCGAGCCTTCGGGGTTTGTGGCGCTCAGGGTCTAGAGTCTCGCCACTGCACAGCGCGGTGAAGGATCCCTTGAAGGCACCCAAATATGCCCTGCGCAAGCTCTGCTCCCTTCATCTCCAGGAGGCTCAGCTTGAGGCACGCCAGGAGGCGCGCTTTTGGGGAAGCAAAGGTGAGAATGGTCGTAACTGGCTATGACTTTCAACCAGCGCCCCTTTATTTTCCTAAGAGCTTCCAAACACTGAAGTCCCAAAACTGAAGCAGGACCGCAAGCTGCTTGGGGCCCAGGCATCAAATCGGAAGTGCAGTGTGGGAATCCCAATCCTGACAGGTGTCCCCGAGCCACAACCGGCAACCACTCGCCCCACCAGAATGGACTGTAAACACGTAGAGTTGATCGCCAAGAACTGTACTGTACCAGGACCTACTAGGTGAGCGCAGAGTCTCGACTACTTCGATACTTCGATGGGAGCATAGACTAAACTGTGACCTCAGGAAACATTGACTGCTAAGGCTGCTACTAATAAGGAAAAATTAGGCTACATAGCCACAATAGCTGCGATTCAACAAGTCAGCTCATATGAACTCTGACTGAAGCTAGTCACTCTACATACCTTCTTCGCGGTCTTCAGTTTACGGCCATGTCAAGCGTCAGCCGCCCCCCTCCTCCGCAATCCTCTGCTAAAATCGCCCACCACACACACGGACAACATTTGGAAAAGCAAAGACCCTGAAGACTAGACCCACAAAGCCCCTTCAAACCCAAGCCTAAAGACGCCTTCTGCGAGCCCGGCCCCTGTCCGCCCAGAACTTGCGGAAGCATTGGGCCGGTTCCCAGGAGGTCCCCTCGGGACGGGATCTCGTCAGCGATCAGGGGAGCTTCGACATTGGGGTTGAGGTCCTGCTTCGGGGAGTCTGAGTCTTTGTTTTTCGTGTTTTGGGGCATTGCAAGTCCAAAGCACGGGAAAATCTCACTCCCAAAACACCACCATGAAGCCCAACCAAAAACCAAAAAGCGTTCATCGCAGCTGTTGTTGCTGTTGCTTAGCTGTATCTTCATCGAGCCTTAAGCCTGTAGGGCCGCAAGGACGAATTTGAAGCAGACCCAAATCGACATTGCAGTCCGTACGAAGGAGCAGGAGCAGCGGCCGCTACCACGATTGAAAGCCAGAGCAAAAGCATTGCTGACAGGCGCTCCGGTCCAACTCCTTCAAGTCTTGGCGCGACTATGCGCTGACGACTAGGACTGGCTTGGAGTTGGGCTGCAGCCGCTCGCTTCTGCTTTGCTTTTGTGCAGAGCAGAGCAGAGCAGAGCTCTCCCCCTTCCTCTCTCGCAGCTCTCGCACGGCGGGAGGCGGCAGCGCCTGCTCCAGTCCGCGGCGTTGCAGCGCGGGGAGGCGGCGGCGCAGCGCGCCGCTGCCCGGGGCCCTGGCTCAGGAAGACGGGAAGGGACGCGGCCGCGGGGGGGGGGGGATGACGATAGGTCTCTTTGGTCATCGATTTGGCGGTGTGTCGTGTAACATACGGCTACGGCACGATTAAATCGGGCTGTTGGCATGGCCATGCACTGAGAGGATGCATCCTTCTGAACTTTGGACAAACATTCCAAGGCATGCGCTTACGCCGGCTTACACGCACCATTACTTACCCATCACAGAGATTCTTAGGGACTGCGCGAGAGAGACCGAGGCTGGCCTCATGCAGTCGCTGCTTGGAACAGCCTTCGGGGCCTGGGCCGAAGACTGCCGAAGGACGAAGGCGGAAAGCAAGTTTCGGGAGGACGGAGGGCGTACCAAAGACCCACCAGGCTCAGGAAGGAGTTCAGCTTAGCATGGATGTCAGCCGGGGCTTTGAAAGAGCTGAGACAGCTTGTAAGTCCTTTGGGCTTGAGAAGGGTTACGAGACCGGGAAAAATAATTGGGGCCTTGGTCCGCTTGGCTTTCCTCTGCGAAGTTGGGGCATTATCTTGGTTTAACATCAGAACTTCCAAAGGGGATTTCAGGCAAGAGTTGTGCAGTCCCTGGGGCTGCTCTAGCCCGCGAAACTGCGGAGTTGATGCGTTGAGCCAGGAACTAAGAGTCACCAGTTGAAGCTACCTGATCCTTGCAATTGGCGTCGCGGCCTTCGTGAAGGCAGCAGGAAGACAGACGCTGGCCAAGTCGATGCTGCAGCGACAGCTGGCGGGGACGAGGTTCGATGGAAGGAACCGAGACATTGTCAGGGATAGGCAGCTGTACTTGAAGGGGCTACGGGTTTCACGGGCTGTGGATGCTACTGTAGTTGGCGCCTGTCCGTAGTTACGTCTCGGTTTTGCAAGCCAGACAAAGGCCCGAAGCACTTGACTCAAAAGTCATGCGCCCTGTGGCACCGTGGTCCATCATAATCCTCCTCAGTACTTCAAGAAACGTCCATGCTTGAAGCCTTTCAGGGAGCAGACCCTGTCGACTGCCTTCACCGGATGGCGCCAACACCAGAGGGTCTCGCAGGCCTTGCAGAAGGGGGGGCAGTCAGTCTGATGTACCGATCGGTGTTGGGGTGATTGCTCTGACCCGCTGGAGATTTTGAGGACTTTCGGTTTAGGCGTGTTGAGATTGTTGCACAGGGTTTAGGGCTTCTGCAAACCACGTGGACGGTTCGATTGTTTGTCTTGCACATTGCCGCAATGGCAAAATGGAAGTGGGACCACCATAAGGACCATAAAGATCTTGCTGGATGCTGTGTCGGCACCGGAGCCGTTCGAGCAGGTCCCCGATACCGCCCATCGCCCTTCTCTTCGCACGATGGCTCGCTCGTCCAGTGTCCTTGCAGGCGGCCTGCTGGGTGCCGCCTCCCTGGGAGGCCTGGCCTTCCTGGCACCCGGCCAGAGCCGACAGGTCGAGGTGCAGAGGGAGGTCGCTGTGGCTGCACAGGCCCCAGGCTTCTTGGCATCCACATCCAGCACCGGCAGTGCTGCCCAGGGCGTCACAGGCGCCTTGGCCGTGGCCGGCTTGAGCGTCGCGGCCGTGAGAGGTGCATCTGCCGCATCCCGCCAGAAGGGCATCAAGCCTCGGGCGGCCAAGAGCGTCGTCGCCTGCAACTCACTGGCAAAGTTGAAGATCGACGAAGTGGACCTTAAGGACAAGCGCGTCTTCATCCGAGTTGACTTCAACGTGCCTCTTCATCCGAGTTGACTTCAACGTGCCGCAGGACAAGAAGGACCCGAACATCATCACCAACACGGCCCGAATCGATGCGGCGCTGCCCACCATCAAGTATGCCCTCGACAACGGTGCCAAGTCCGTGGTCCTGTGCTCGCACTTGGGCCGCCCCAACGGCCAGAAGGACGAGAAGTTCTGCGGCTTAGGGTGTTAACTTTCTTGCCTGTCTGGGTTTAGGGCATAAGAAGTGTTCGAAACCTTTTTTTTGGGACCTTGAACCCAATAAGTGTGTTGAATCTGCTGCCCCGAAATAAAGCAGAAGTCAAAACACTTCCGACAAAACAAAGGCAAACCACCCTGTGCCACGTCCCCGCGTCTGTCTCCCAAGCCTCCCAAGTCCCGGGCTTTCGCTTCAAAAGAATCTCTGGAAGACTGTCAGGCAATATTTATGACAGTCTCTCCCATTCTCTCAGTTCTCTCGACTCACAAGACAGTGTGAGGCAGAATTCAAGCGCAAGTCCCCTTTGGGATTGATTGACGCGGGGTTCATTTTACGAGACCGAAACAATCGAGGAACACATGTTTTCTGCAATCACAGAAATTCGTTCTGTCACACTCTCTCTCTGCTTTTTTGGCGTGAAACATGTGTTCTTTTTGGGCTTAGATGCTCCTGAATCTTGCCTCTCGAAAGTCTGAGTCTGGGGAGTATGTAGTCTGTCGTATGGCTTTCTTTTATTAGAGCGGGGGGGTCAGATCTTTATAATACACTTTTTTCCGGACATGTGTGTGTTTCTTTAGTGGAGGTGGGCGACGTGGCAAACCAAAATTCGCAAAATTGTGCTGATTTTTTTTGGTCGGGTGACCGGAGACCTTTTCCAAAACCTGGTAGGCTCGCCGGTGCTTCCTCCGAAAGAAGTGTTTTGACCCCATCTTTTTAAAAAATAGGTGTTGTTGTTCCTTGCTTTTTTCATTCAAGCAAGTGTTTTTGTTTTTACCCTCTCATTTTTAATAATTGTGCCGTTTCCTCCCCCCTTCGGCCGCCCCTAGAGTCTTTCTCCGCCGCGTTTCCGTTGTTTGATTTTTTGTCAAGATACCTGGTTGATTTTGGTGAAACTTGGTTGATTTTTCAGTAAACCTGGTTTATTTTCAGCAAACCTGGTTGATTTACGGTAAACCTGGCTGATTTTCGGTAAACCTGGATGATTCTCGGTAAGCCTGACTGATTTTCGGTAAACCTGGTTGATTTTCGGTAAACCTGGTCCGGTGAAACCTGGTTGATTTGGTTGATTTTGGTGAAACCTGGTTGATTTTAGTGGGCCGGGCCGAGGATGATAGTTGCAAGTTGCAAGAACACAATTAGTTCTCACTCTTTATTTCTCGCTCTTTCTGTATTCTTTCGTTCATCCGAAAACACACAGAGCAAGGCCTAGCAAGCCCAGCCCCGAACTTCCCAAAACTGATCAAAGTGTTTCGGTATCTTGAGGAGAGGAATGTCTCCCGCAACGTGTGCCTTTTTTCTCGCCTTTTTTGGGATGAGGTGTGTTGTCACTGCCGCTTTGCGGTCAGCTGCGTTGCAACCATATATCAAAGCAACGAAACCAGCAAACACACTTATATTTTTCTTAAAGCGGGGAAAATGTACCCCAGGCACAGACAAGAAAGTTATTGGGTTGTTTTAGGGTCCTTAAAACTAAGCCCCTGACTTCCATTCTCATTTTGCAAGGTTCTCCATGAAGCCGGTGGCCAAGGTGGTCGAGGAGAAGTTGGGACGGCCTGTGAAGCTGATGAACGATGTGGTCGGCGAGGAGGTCGAGGCTGCCTGCGCCGACCCCGAGCCGGGCACCGTGATCCTGCTGGAGAACTCCCGGTACTACGTCGAGGAGGAAGGCAAGGGCAAGGATGCTGATGGCAACAAGGTGAAGGCCGATGCCGACCAGGTGAAGGAGTTCCGTGCATCTCTGGCCAAGCTGGCTGACATCTACTGCTCCGATGCTTTCGGCACTGCCCACCGTGCCCACAGCTCCATGGTCGGAGAGGGCTACCCCGTGAAGTGCTCTGGCTTCCTCCTGGCCAAGGAGCTCGACTACTTTGCCAAGGCAATGCATCCAGTCGGCTGAGATATGAGGGTAGTTGGCCTCACCTACCCAACATGTGCCAGGTCAGACGAAAGGGGCATGATATGTTAGCTGGGAGATTGGGTTTACTTGATTGTTTGATTACTTGGGACGTGCCAAGTGACATTCAGCTCTTCAACCATGGCAAGAGTAGTTCAAGAGAGAAAGTGCCATTGTTACAGCTTGAAATCCATGGAGTTCCTCTTAGACAGACCCGCCCACGAATCGTCCTCGTGCCCTTCTTACCTAAGTTTTGAGGTGGTGGACGCGCCCACTAGGCCAGTGTGCGGCATCCTTGGCGGAGCGAAGGTCGCAGACAAGATCCAGCTGATCATGAACCTCTTGGACAAGGTTGACATCATGATTATCGGAGGAGGCATGGCTTTCACCTTCATCAAGGAGGCCGGTGTGGACATTGGCAACTCCCTCTACGACGAGGAGGGTGCCAAGCTGGTGCCGGAGATCAAGAAGAAGGCTGAGGAGAAGGGTGTGGAGCTAATCCTGCCCGTGGACTTCGTGTGCTCCTCCAAGTTCGGAGATGATGGCGAGATCCAGGAGGGCGACATGAGCACAGGCGTTCCCGAGGGCTTCTTGGGTCTCGACATTGGCCCAAAGTCCATCGCCATGAACGACGAGGCCAGTGTTGGGTTGGCTTGCAGCTCCAGGTTAGGAGGTTTGCCAGCTTTGTGCTACCACGACCCTCAATCGGATAATGTGGCAGGCCATCAAGAAATCCAAGACGATCGTTTGGAACGGTCCTATGGGCGTGTTCGAGATGGAGGCCTCGACATGATGAGAGAGCACGATGTCGCTTTCAGACTTTCCATGGTGCTTTTCTGTCGTTTTTCCTCGCATGATTGCGTCTGAGTCTGAACATGTCTGTGCCCACAGCTCATTGTGGCAGGCCTTTGAGAAGGGGACGAAGCAGATGATGGAGACCATCGTGGCAGTCACCAAGGAGGGTGCCGTCTCAGTCATCGGTGGAGGCGACACTGCGACTGCTTGCAAGAAGTACGACACCGTGGACAAGGTCTCCCACTGCAGCACCGGCGGTGGTGCATCTCTCGAGCTTCTGGAGGGCAAGCTCCTGCCCGGCGTGGCCGCTCTGGACGACTCCAAGGCCATGGCAGATGCTTAAACAAGTTTTGTCTTACCGGTGTAACTTTTTCCGAGCCTCAGCCCGTGTTCAGGCGGCCTCTGCAACTTTTAGATAGCGCAGGGGTTGTTTTCCGCAGATGCGGAGTGCACGTGGCATTTCGACAGTCATGTCCATTGAGCAGTTCGAAAAAGTCGGCCAGCCGGAAAGGCTTCAGACAAGGATGTTTCCGAGCCTCAAGATGTTCCTCGTTCGCATGACAAGCTTGGTGCACTGCTGCAGCAGTGTGCAAAGCAGAAGCAGGTCGCACCGCACCTTGCTAAGCCGTGAACGCTTATCAATGCACGCCGAAGAAGGCCCCAGCTGAAGCCGGCTGGCCTGCTCTGTATTTCTCATATAGTTGCATATGTATATGTTTGGTTGTGTTTCGTCTTGGGCACCTGGGAAACGCTTATGCTGATTGAAGCAAATGTGTTTGTTTATTTTTATTCATGTTTCTCATGATGAGCTTTTCTCTAGCCCTATCGCCCTGCAGCTCTTACATAGCCCCGAAAACCCGAGGAGCAACCCGTGAACCCCAAAATCAGACATGAGCAATGTCAGCTTTTGGCAAGGGCCTGGCCAAGCGACATCACTCCGTGGCATCAGCGGCCTTGGCGAAGTGCTCGAGGCCGCTTGGACCGAGTGGGCTCCTGCTGAGAATCCTTGGCAACCCTGGGATCTTCTTCTTCATTTCAGATTGCCTGAAGGATTCATACAAGATCTCGATCGCTTCTTCAAGATGCCCAAGGGGTGGCTCTTGTTAATCTTGTTGCGGTCTGAGTCTAAGTTTCCAATTTGTTGGAGGGCTTGCGGGCCGAAGGAAGGCATGTTCTCACTGCTGAACCAAGGATCGAAATAAGTAGTTGAGAGTGGCCCCTGTGACACCACCGCAAGGGCGAACTTGGTCGACTCATTCGTGGCCTGGAAAGAGACGATCCGGTCGGAGATGCCGTTCGGCAGATGGGAAGAAGGGCTTACGTGCAGAGGTATATTGTGATTGTGAGGCTATGGGGTGTGAAGCATGTTGTGTGTTTTTTAATCATCTACTGAGTCTGCCGTATGTTTTTTGCGTTTGCACGAATGCTTGTTTTCCACGTCTATCTCGGTGGGGCACTTTGAAGTTCTGTTGGGTTCACACAACCATAAATTACCATACATGTTGGGACTGCGTTACATGAGCTACATGTGAGCTCGGAGAGTCGCTCGATCCCGTGCGTCATCCTTGCGCCCATGTAGCAATCACCCCTGCTTTTGAAGGCCCTGGGTCCTTTAAGGCAATGCCCCGAATCCGTGACATCTGGCACCTCGCTCCTGGTAAGTCTCCACTTCCAAGTCGCTCCGATCAAGGTTGGCGCACCTGAAGCACGAGCTGCTCCGAACGAGAAACTCGCTGAAGCTGCGCGGGGCCAAGAGTCGGATCAGCCTCACCGGGCCGAGCGATCGTCGGTTTCGGGTTTAAATGCAGGTATGCGTTGCGATGCGTTGCGTATGTGTCGTTCCAAGGCTTTAAGGATTCTGACTAGCCGAAGGCACATTTCGCACTTGTCGGGGTCAAGGTGTTCCCGTTTCTTCTTTCACAGCAGCACTTCCGTTCCGGAGGCTATGAGGAGAGGGACCTCTCGGGTAATGCGGAATTCCTTCCTAGGGCCGCAACTGCGAAGCTGCAAATGTCGAGGGGTCCACTCAGCTTTCCTGTGGAGCCTTTGGATGTCGATGGGCATCCCCACCGATTTCACAAGCACTAGTCAGGCGTCTTCGTTGGCCCGCTTAGAATCAGGGTATACGCACCCACCTACCCACGCACCCACGCACGCACACGCGTACAAACACAGGATCACGCCACCCATAGATGCACTGATCAAGCAGAAAATCGTAGACACCAAACCAGACTTCCCTTCAATTTCCGCATTGCACCTTCTTGCCAGCTTTCGGCTGCTGTGCCTAGTTCTGTTGAATCATTGCCACGTGGAGAAGCACCGGGTGGCCCCAAACTGCCAAGCCTCCCACCAATGGGAATTTGAAAACTAGAAGACGAGTGGCCCGAAAGTATCATTTGGCAAGAGTTTAGCGCTATGTAAAGTCA